TCGCTGTACACCGCCTTTTGTATCGACGTCTATGATTCTTCTACGTCCAGTGTTAATGTACGCTATTTTGTAATAGAGTAGCGTATTGCGTTGAATGGTCGAAGTAGCCCATATCCCTCATTAAACGTAGCATTCGCTTGCATTTTGGTATATTATTCCAGCAAGATAATTTTCTCGGTATGTTCTCGTTGGCCCTTTTCACATCGCCTTGTACACGGCGGCTTGTGGCTTGTGTTGAACCTGAGATACACTTGTTTTCCGGTGGTGTACCCAGTCTTTGTTTCATTTGCCAATTCCATTTCCAACGAGATGAATGCTGGGAGTCATGCGACGATCTCCTTGGTGGAGACGATATTTTATCATCCTTCCTATCGAATGCTGTTTTCTATCTTGTCGTCCCAATCTACACCGCTTCTCCATATGTGTTGAAGAAGTTTCTTGCCCTGTATTAATATTGGCGATGCCAAACCTAAAGGGTCGAACGTAGACATGACGGCGCTTGTAACTTCCCTTTTAGTGGGCACCTTTTCGCCTCGCGCGATGTCTGTCGGTGTGTTGCGTAGGTTAGCCCGGAAACCTATAGTATCCTCTTCGATCAACCATCGTAGACCCAACGTTTTCTCTTCTTTTTCAACTAGGTTTACTTCTTTTGTCTCCGGATTTTCAATATTAAAACCATTTAGCAGAGATGGTTTGTTTGAAGTCCAACCTCTGAGTTCGAAACCTGCCTTTTTGTGGATTACATCGACTTGCTTTGTCACCTTTAGGAACTCTTCCTCCGTATGAAAACTATGCAAATAATCATCCATATAATGATTCCTGTCTATGGCTTGAAAAGCTTCCGGGTACTGTTCTTTAAAGTCGGCGGCATTCTTATTCTTCACGTAAATGGCTATACTGGGAGATGACGTCGCACCAAAGACGACAGACGTCATTCTATATTCAATCGGCGGTATATCACGACGATCGCCGCGCCACAGAAATCTCAAACTATCTCTATCATCGGGCTTAATTCGAATTTGTAGAAACATTTCTCGAATGTCTGCCGCAACTGCGTACGGACCTTGTCTAAACCGTAAAAGGACACCGAAGAGCGATTGTAGTAGATCGGGACCCGGTAACAGAGCGTCGTTAAGACTTTTTCCTTGATACCTAGCCGCTGCGTCGAATACAATTCTTAATTTTCTTTTTACAGGGTGCTCAACAGAAAAGTGAGGCAGGTACCACAGACGATTTGATTTTGAACCGATGGGAGCTTCTTCCGCGTATTTATTTTCGATAAGCTTTTGAATTTGTTCGTTATATTTCATTTTCAGCTCCGGATTTCTATCAAGCTTTTTTTCAATATATTTTAGCCTATTTTCCGCAGATGTGTAGTTATTAGGCATTATTTCATCTTTGTTTTTCCACAAAAGACCTGCTTCGAATCGGCCATCTGAGAGGCGCTTACACGTTGCCTCTAAAAGCGCTAAAGCTTTTCCTTCCGAGTCAGTACTCGGCCTTTTGGGTTGTACTCCAAGGGCCTCTATTGAGAAGTGTTCCTTAATAGTCATGTGCATTTCGTCGTCGATTCCATTAACGTGTGCACATTTCTCAGAAAGGCGGATGGATTTTCCATATCCCATATCTAATCCGTGCAATACCCATCCTAGTTTTGTCATGGACGCAACTGGCTGTCCGGGCTTTCCTTTTCTGACCTCCCGAGAGATAATAAACTCCCAGTTATCTTGCCCTATAAGAAGCTGAGGTGGTTCTTCTTCGTAATACAATGTGTCGCTAAATTCCCTCAGATGGGAATAAGTTTCAAGCTTTGTCTTCTCTAATAACTGTGACGCAAGCTTGAGATTTTGCACCGTACGCACGCCTTGTAAAACCCTTGTTTTGTTTTGGTGAATTCCTTTTATCTTTAAGTTAATTTTCTGGGAATCAGTCTCGATTATGCGTTTGCCGCCTACGGTTTCCAAAACAAGACTTTCCGTGCGGCCTGATAAACCAATTTCTTGAGACACATCGGCGTTTAATAAAGACACTGTAGAGCCTTCGTCTAAAAGCGCCATTATTCTCTTAGACCCTTTGCTTCCAAATACTTCGACACGGATCATCTTAAGATAGGCTTTCTGGGCTTGTACCGTGTTGATTTGTTGCGCCTCGATTGTAACTTCTTGTGACGAGGCTTGCTCATTATTCAAACGTTCGCTTCTTTTATAATGTAACATTGTGTGGTGTCCTCGCCTGCATATCTTGCACGGCGGACTGCGACAATAACCTTTCGTAAATTTATGACGAAGACATTTAAAACAAACGGCTATACTTTTAACCGTTACCCATCTATCTTGTGTGGACTTGTCCCTAAAGTTTTGACAAGCCACAAGAAAATGATTGCCTTGGCACAATGGACATTTAATTTCTTTCGTTTGTGGCTCGCTTTGATCTAGTTGACGTGTAGAGTTCACTAAACTTCTCGTGTTTCTTCTGCAGCCGCTTTTTAGATTTACAGTGGCAAAGGCCCCACATTTGTCTGCCTCGTTATTCAGGAACGTAGATATCGACTCGAGGTCCGAGCAATCGTCTTCGTCTATTTTTGCCGCGTAATCGTACCATCTAAACTTTAAAACAGACGGCAACTTGTCGAGAATTTGCCTTGACATTTCAGGTGATCGAAGATAATATGGCTTTTTCAGACCTCTTATTGTAGCGACGCTATTATTTATTTGATTTGCGAACGCACATATATCGCTCGGGTTTTCACTTATACGTTGGAGCGACCTTATTTTGTCTAACTCCGCCATAACTAAAGCATCTGGACGACCATACCTCCGGCCGAGGGCTCGCATAACTTCGTCTGGGCCTGTGTCTGAGAATAATAGACTTTTAATCGCTTCTTTAGCGTTGCCCTTAATTGCCCGTCTCAGCCGCGCCATATTTTGTACACTGCTGAACATAAAAGCGGTGTCTTCATACATAACTTTAAAGGCCAGCCATTCTTCGATGTTGCCGTCAAAAAAAGGCAATTCATAAATAAATTTTGGCTGCGCAGATGAACCTTCTCTTGTAGACATTGCTTCCTTTAAAGCGATTGTGAGAGCTTCTACTTCCGACGTAATTTTCTTTGTCGAACTGCATTCTTGCTCGGCGGCTTCATTTTCTTGAGGGGAATATTTATTACACGGCTTTATTTCTTCTTGGCAATCGCCTTGTTGCGACGTATGCAACCAATCTTCAACCCGGGACATATTATCGCCCGGTTCCTCAGCCGAACATTCCTCCTCCTCGCATTGTATGCGCTCTAACTCTATGCGAGCTAGATTAACTTCCGCCTGAGCCAATCTTTCTTTGGCCAATAACTCGCGTCTTCTCACAGACGAGCTTGTCGACTTCACAGACTTTGAACGGCAGCTTTGTCTCGTTAATGCCTCGGCTGTAGTTACACCGGACATTAACGCCATATTTCGTGAGCTCCCTTGCTCAGTCGCCTGTCGTCGTACGGCACCCATGTTCATTGGTCCGGATATAGCGGACATTGCCGTTCTTGCGGTCGCCACTTCTGTCGATGTAGCACGATGCGTGTTTTGCGAAATTGCCGATGCGCAGGAACCTCCCGGCCGTTCAATATTTGCGCTTACAGTCGCCGTATGCCTTGTAGAGGGCACCGACGGGGGCCGGAGAGGAGTATTTTTCTGTGACCTAGTCACTGGCATTTTTGCCGAAACTTCAAAATTTTTATTTAAATTTCAAACGATTGTCGACGAAACTTCAAATAAAATGTCGATGAACTTCAAAATATTTCGACAATACAACAAAGAAATTGTCGACGAAACTTCAAATAAAATGTCGATAAACTTCAAAAAATATTTCGACAATACAACCGAGAAATTGTCAAAGAAACTAAAAATGTCGACAAACTTCGAAAAATTTGGGAAAGGAAAAAAAACTTGGAAAAAATATTTTGATAAAACTTCAAAAAACATCGACAAAACTTCAAAAAATTCAACAAAAATTTAAAAAATGTTTCGATAAAACTTCCAAAAACTTTTCGACAAAACTTGAAAAAATGTTTCGGCAAATCTTCCAAAAAATATTTCGACAAAACTTCAAAAATTTAGCAATACTTTTGCGGATCGGCTATATAAATAAAGCCTTTAAGATCCGGCTCGAAGGACCAGCTGTTTCGGCTGCTTGAAGCTAGGTAGCACCCGTAAAGGCACTACCTACTCGCTGCCTGGGACAAGCTCCCAATTGGGTGATCGGTGATAATAAGATAAAGTAAGGGACCTCGTTTTGCACCTTGCGGCACGCAACTCGGACCTCACTTTGCGCCGGTAACACCGATCCAGGACCCACAAAAGAGTAGCCAATTTTGCTACGACCAAAAACGCAGGAAAATCGCCCAAGAGAAACACTTTAAATTAAATTGTGTAATTCCTCGGGGTCAGTCAAAACGCGTGCGTGTGGTCTCGGTAGAAGCTGTGATGCGACTGCTGTTGCGCCGAACGGCGCCCTATTTATATGCGCGCTAAGCAGGTAGCGCTCGGACCCCCGCGTGTTTCGACTGACCCTTTAGATGTATCTTTATTTAAAATAATTATACAAAATGTTTATAAAATGAAACATAAAAAGTACAAATAGAACACAACATACATTGACAATTAAAACCTATGCATAAGACTATTTTAACAAACATTAAAATACAAATACTTTATATTACACAAATTCTACGACATGTTATTTAAGATAAACATAGGTTAAGCAAAACTATAAAAATACATCTTAGACATAAAAATACACACGTCATTTACAGACTACAATGAATCTAAGATGTATGAATTATTAAAATTGTTTCCATAATGTTGTATTCAAAAATTATATAAACATGTATGGGCAGAGGGATGCTACTTCGACAATTATCTATTTGACACATTAAAAACATAACAAGTAATTCACGCAAAAGTACATTAAAAATAACCTATACAATAAAAGATAACTATAATATACTTAGGTTATAAACAATTCACATTAAACTTAGATTACAGTGGCGATGTACCTCAAGAGCTATACATATGGCATACACGAGTTATTTACACTGACTCTAACTGAGGATACAACTGTGGCGACACTCACTATTTCACATACTAATTTCACTATATCACTTAATATCGAATATCACTATTTTATATATTTCTTATTTACTTCAATTCTTCCTTGGCATCTGGTCCCACGGTTCTTGCACATTTTGCAAGCCATTATAGAAATTAGGCGCAATAAACTTAAAACATTTTATGATACCCTCGCCGTGGCCGTCTTTTGCATCTATTGTCAAATTTCAAGAAACGTTGAATTTTGTTATTATTTAATATTTTAAAATGCAAAAATTCCTTCCTCTAATGTCTGCCATAAAATAGCCAATCTGCAGCTCTATTGTCTTTAAGGAATGCACATTTCGTTTCTCGTATTTTTAAAATTATCTTTACTTCTTTATTGCCCAAGTACAAAAAATTCCTTTTGATGCCCGTTCCTTTAAAAGGCCATTTAACATTTTGATGTTTAATTGATTTTGATTGATATTCGACATCTTGATTATTTTAATTCAAAATAAACATATTCGTCGCCAACAGCCATTTTAAAAAGAGTAAAGAACTTCAAAAATAACACTGCATTTAAATTTAAGCAAAATGATGAAAAGCGAACACCCCGAAATGTAGAAACAAAATACAAACATATATTTTTTAATACTATGAACTCCGTTTATAAAACTACGAGGGACATATCTGAGCGTTTCAATTAAAATGCTAGGCTTTTATGGAGTGAGGGTTGACGACTGCACGTATTTACCGCGACCGGTCATTTGACTGCGGACGAACAAAAACCGTTAACTGAATGTAAACCAAACAAGTGACGAAGTAACAAAAATATATACAAAATTCATTTCCCGAACCTTAACTGTATTATTTATCCATTTTTAAACCTTACTGGACATTTTTTTCTTTGTTATTGAAACATGTTTGAACGATGTGTTGTTTATAATGTTTTGACAACCCTAGAGCTGCAGTCGTATACATTATATTAAAATAGCCAGACTGGAAATGTACTCTGTTAAATGCCACCGCATGGATCGCTTTAATAAAGCTAGTGAAAAGGTATTTTCTTTGTTACTTTATGGAAATATTCTTTTGTTGGCAACATTTTGTACTGTATTATTTTAATTCCTTTTAATATGGGAATTATCAAGTTCGTTTAAGCAAATCGCATCGTTATACAAAAAGTTGTGACACGGCTTATTTCTTTAAACAAATAAAATATAATATTGCTTTTAACTAATGTTGGTGGTATGTAGTAGTTAGCCATGAGTTTCCATTGTTTTTCAAATAAGACAATATGTTTTTGTAAAATAAATAACGGTGAAAATAGTGACATTGCGCAACGTAATCATTATCGTCGTGTAAGAAACGTCTGTTATCCGTTCATTATCTCTTCCCGAAGAACGCCGCTTTGAACGACTCTGACACAAATCAGATAAATGGTCACAAGATCTTGTAAAAACACTTCTCAAATAAATGTTTAATTTCTAAAGAATATTATTATATACTTAATATTCTCATATTAGTATTACTTTATATAATTTTCTATCAACCGCTAAGTTATTCGCAGACGTTCGCATAAGCTTAATTATATTTCCATTTACGTACGTGACATAAACAGGAGTGTAGAGGGCGCGACTAGCGAACAGCGCAAGTAATTTAGCACAACGAGTTAATTTGCTGCGTCGCGTTATACCGATAAATTAACTTAACGCGCGGTTCTTAGCAATAATATATTATACATCCATCTCTACGTTATATTTCAACCTTATGAACATCGAACGTTGACCGACATAAGACTTTTATTTCGTCAAAGATACATTCACCTTATTATTACGAGTATCTTACAGTTTCAAAGTAAAGTTAAGGTGTCCTACTTGTCTTAACGTCTGTAGAGAAGTACTACGAGATAATAATCTCTATTTCTTGTCTAAAGAAAAAAAGTGGAACGCTAACTCGACCAACAGTCGATTTTTAAACATGCCCAAAAAAAGATATGGAACGAATCTATGGTCTAACGGAATAATTAATATATCGATTAATTACCTAAACCTCACTTTATTCAGGCTATAGATCAAACTCAAAATCACTTCAAAACTCCTAACACACGTATTAATATAGGTAAGTACTTAAATGTTCTAATTAAACATTCCAGCGAGAATATTAATATCGAGGGAATCACTTTAAAATATCCGTAGCTACGTAGCAGCCCACGCAAACACCGCAAGCTTCAGTTGAGTTAGCGGTGCTAAGCCTGTACCACACAGTCGGCGAAGCGAACCGAAGCGATGCGAAATAATTTGAAATAGCCTAAATAGTTCCTGCCAGATTAAACCTTTTGCAAACAGGATTACTACAAGAAATAAAATCTAATATCAAAATTTTTAATAGAAGGTGACAAACGAGGAAATATGAAGTATCTGTTCTGCATGGATGTGGTTTTGCACTGGTCGAGCGATAAATTCATGCAAGAGTTAACGTTGGTGCGAACTCTACCTAATATTAAATAATATGCAAACTGTCGATTCCGTTTTCATTTCTTTACGGGTCTAGATTGTATTACGAATGACTTCTCGTTCGCCTTCACAGTTGTGTAGTACACACTTAACACACCTTCCCGCCTCACCCCGCAAGCCAGTTCGCGATACGTACCCTCGCGAAACGCGTCGAGACTAATTGATCAGGTAATTTGTTGTGCCGCAGCTGCGGCCGCGGTCTTATGAATTACAAATTTGTTTCAACAATTAATACAAACCTAGATTTGGGATGTGGAATACGTGACGCGTACAGTATACACCGCACAAACTTACTTGCGGCTTTATATTCAGAATTTGGAAATAGAATTTTACCTATTTAAAGCTATATTAATTATTTAAATCGAATGTATCTTTTAAGTATACAAGTAGTTTTATTACTTTTGATTTGTACATAGCTTTTTAATATAATTCTATATATTTGGAATCTCTGAATCGGCTCCAACGACAAGAATTGCTCATTTAAAGATATAAGATATTGTGCAATCAAGTAAAGAATTATATTAAAAAGCTATATATATATAGCTATATATATATATATATCGGAATCGGCTCCAACGATTTTCATAAAATTTAGTATATAGGGGGTTTCGGGGGCGATAAATCGATCTAGCTAGGAATCATTATTAGAAAATGTCATTTTATTCGTGTTTTATCGATAATCAACTTAAACATAAACTTAACTTTTTCTATCGGTAAGATCGAAAAATATTATTCATATTTCATCATTTTATTATAATAGTATTTCGTGCTAAAATATAATTAATTTAAAAAAAATACCGAGCAAAGCTCGGTCATCCAGGTTTTTTTTTAATTATGCATGAAAGATGTAAAAAAATCATAAATAGGATTATAATCCTGAACACCTCATAGCAATTAGTTAATCCATTAGCAGCGAAGTTGCGGAGAAGA